CATATAAATGAGATGAATTGGGAATTTTCTAAGAGCACAATCTTTGGTTTTGTTTTTTTTTTTTAATTTCAATCTCAAAACCAGACAAAGAGAAAGGAAAATGAGACTGTTTTTCCTCTCTGACGACTGGGATGGGAGTGGGTGGAGGAACAATTTCCCTAACCTCCTCCCTAGTAATTTCCAGGCTGCTGCAAGGGAAAGAAGTGATAGACTCTGCTACTGTGCAATTCTATTTTCAGTCCTGTGTGACCCCCGTGATCACCAGGACTTCTCTCACTGATTACAGCCACTAAAGGGATCCTTAACAATTCTCCCCAAAGCAGCCTAGAGCCCGAGGCCAGAAAGGATGGTTTCACTGAGCTATGACAGAAACAAGGCTGTGCTGCCACCTAACAGAGCATCTACTGAACTTCCTATAAAGTTCCTTAACCAAACACTCAAAGAGACAGATTTAACAGCAATTTGCTACAAGTGCTGAACAAGGTCTTTAGGGACAAGCATAACATCATAAATTCCAATTATTTTGTTTCACGTATGAATTCTGGTAAATGTCTTCAGTTTGGGTTAGGTAAACACAAAAAGGTAACCAGCCTCTTCACAGTAAAGCAGTACATTTAGCACACATAGATAAAAAAGGCCTTATTCTGAAATTCATAATGTTGTTTTTAATCATTAATAAGTGCATAAAGATCCTGTGCATTTGCCTTTCACATCTCTGAGAGCCTGAACCTATGTTTACAATGGAACTGATAGTATGTGATTTCAATTAAATCACATTTTTGATTTTTACAGACAAGAAGTTATTCAATCAACCTGAAACACAAGCTCAAAATTACTCAGCACCTGATTAGATAACAACAGATATTACAACTATTAATCACAGCCACAAATTTTCATCTTAATGTCAACCACTTTAAACAGGGCAAACACATTTAGTTGTATTACTAAACAAAAGCAATAAAAGGAAACACCAAAAACCTTATCAATCATGTATTTAATGTGCAATTACCTGGGCTCCACACTGAGGAAGTTGGGCAGCTTCACGAAATATAAATCATTACCCAAGTCTGTGTTCACTTTTGGTATTTCTACCTCTATTCTGGTCTCTGGAATAGGCTCTTCTTCCTGCTGTTCTTGACTCAGTCCATTCTCATCCTAATGAAAAAAATGGAGAAGAGAAGCACATGTGAAAAGAAGTCTATCTGGCTACTGTTGCTTTAATAAGCACATTTTCCTTAAAGAAATGTCATCCATATGCACAGAGAGAGATGGGGTAAAAAAGAACTCACACATTTTCATTGAAAGCAATTCAATTCATCATTTTCATGGGCTACTTAAAGTGACTTCAAGCACCAGTGCAAACTCCAGAGATGACAGAGAGCAAAGAACAGCAAAGAAGCTGATCTACAGTTTTCAGTTAAGCACTGGAGAGTAAATGGGCGACAACTCCCATATTTAAAAGGATATTTTTCTGTATTATCAACAGGAGATGAAAATTTATCATCAAAATGAAAATACTTTTCAAATAGCTGTAATAAGGTACTAAAGACAGTTACAGCTTTGTATTTTAATTGATGCAGTCAAAACTATCCATAAAGCAAAGCAGGGATGAGGGAAGGCAGACAAATGAATCCATGTGATAGTTATGTATAAAACTTTAATAATTCTTTCCACTGGGGCAAAATTATCTGTAATGCTTACTTAATGTCATTACTCTTTTTCACTCAAATATTATCAAATTCAACGGGTGTTCTCCATTTCAGAGTGGAATGTTGTGTTCACTATCTCAAAAGTCAAGTCTACTCACAATGGGCTGTCCTGGGGTTGGTGGTTTGTCTTCTCCATCACTCCCTGAGGAAATGTCATCTGCACCTCCAAACAGATCCATGACATCTGCATGCTCTTGAGCAGAAAAATTGCTACTTTAAAACACACATATATATGCACACACAGCCCTAATGCAAGAACACTCACAGAAAAAAAAAAGGTTACCTAATCCCTCACTCTTACTAACACTTAAAATCAACTGCAGAGGTTAAAAATTTCAAGTGTTTATGGAGCCCACATTATTCCCTTATCCTGAAAAACATTTTTCCCATGTATTTTTTAGCTAAGGATTCAAGGTATGTTTTCCTGGGAAGGCTCTATCGAATAAAGGAATCTAGCTGAAAAATGGCAAAAGAAGAATGAAACATAATCCTTATTCACGTAACGTGAATATAAGTAACAGCAACTCCATTACACATTTTGGAGGTTTTACTTCTTAGAAAATAAACACTTCTTTCTCAGCCAGCTAACCCATCACAAAAACCAGTAGAGAATCCCTGGGCTGCTCTGATTAAAGGAACCATTTCTTAACATGTGAAAGAACATTCACAAAACAAAAGTTCATGGAGGAAGCTGGAAAGCTGACAGAACTAACCAGAGTGAATCAGAAGTACAGCGGGTACCTCCCCACACAGAATTCTTGCTGTTTCATTATTTCCATGGCACCACAGTCACACGTACAGCAAGTGCTACCAATTCTATCCTGGAGCAGATGAATGGCACCTCAAGGTGATGATTAAAGGAATCAAACCCCCACAAAACAACACCACAGTTTACCTTTCTGCCCTTCTGTATCACTCTCCACTTCTGAATCTGATGCAATTGGTTTCTTTCGCTTCATTCGCAGAACTTCATCTTCGCTGTCGCTGCCCCTTGCAGACTCTACCAAGGAGCATAATTATTCTCAGCAAATTAAAAACTTTGCTCCACAAATTTTAAAATGCCTTTGTATTAATAAGCTGATTCAGATGAAAAGGAATTTAAAAAGTGCTGCATAAAAAAAGCATTACAAAATGACTACAGTTGAAAGCTACACGATTACTGCCTTTACACTGAAGTCTGAATCTTTTCAGGCCAATGTACACAAAACAAGAGACCAAACCAGCAGCAAATCATTACTTCTGTACACAGTCCTACCGGATTTGTGCTCTTGCTCCTCCTCATCAGAATGCTGGGCCCTTTCCTCGTCATCAGAGTTCTGCATCTTCTCCTCATCAGAACGCTGGGCCCTTTCATCATCATCTGAGTTCTGCATCTTCTCCTCGTCCGAGGCCTGGGGCCTCTCCTCATCATCGGAGTTCTGCATTTTCTCCTCATCCGAGTTCTGGAGTCTTTCCTCGTCATCAGACACCTGAGGCCTTTCATCCTCATCCGAGTTCTGCGCCTTCTCCTCATCGTCGGAGTTCTGCTGTCTCTCCTCATCATCAGAGTTCTGCTGCCTCTCCTCATCGTCCGACTGATCGCTTTTGTCCTCCTTGCCCCACTTCTCGTCCTCCGAATGTGCTTTTTCAGAACCATCTCCCTCTGAGTGGTGACTGCCTTCATCTGAGCCGTGATCACGCTCATCCTCGTCGTCGTCATGGGCAGCTTCCGAGGCGCTGTGCTGGTCCCCGTCCGACTGGTCGTTGTCCTCGTGCTCAGAGTGCCCCGAGGCCTCGGAGCGATTGTAGGACCTTTCAGAGTGGTTGTCGCTCCCCGAGTGGTGGGATGCTCCTTCATCCTCACTGTCATCTCCAAATAGCTCCTTATTACTGGGTTTTACCGCCTCCCTGTCATCATCCTGGTCGCTGTCGCTTCCAGAGGCGTTGCTACCAGAACCAGCGTTTTCCTGGTCGGAATCTGAATCGGATCCAGAATCAGAATCTGCAAAACAAACATCACCCTTTCAAAAGTCAGGATGGCCCTACAAGGATGCACATACGATGGGCATTCCTTTAACACTAAAAAAACCTCCCCAACCCAACCCAAACAGAATCTACAGAGAACTGTAAGAAGGACTGACAGAAGTTACCAAGTAAAATAAAATGTCTGCTAATAAAGGCACAGCCGAAGAAAGACACAATGAAAAATGATGCCACATGAAATTTCAAGCCACGAGCTACGCTCTAAGACTCTAAAATTGTAGGAGGAGCGTGCAATTACAAAAAGTAAATGACATTATTAAAATAGCGAAGGCTTAAACAAGTAACTACATATACGTGGCTTACGATATCCTACAAATTCAAAACAGTCACCATGTGTTTAATCTAAGTCATGTACCCGGGCACGTTTGTTTGCTACCCGGGCTCCTCGTCAATGCTGAGGCTGGTAAACGCCGTTTCGAGCAGGAAAATAAAAGAACGTCCGCCTCGAAAAGCGATATACAGGAACGGAGACAAGTTCTTTGACTACACGCTAAGGACTGAAGCGGGAGGTGCTCCCTCGTTCCCTCCCCTGCAGGCACCGACCCCTCGGCCCGTGGCTCCGCGCCGGTCCACGCTCCTCCCGCGGGCCCCTCCCTGCCTCCCGCCCAGGCCCGGGTGACGCGCGAGGGGCGATGCGGGGCGGGCGGGCGGCCGTGCGGGACGGAGGGGTGACCGGGAGGCGACAGAACCCGCACCTTTGTGCTCGGGCTCCGAGTCCGCGTCGCTGCCGAACAGGTCCGCCATGTCGGCCATGGCGGCGGCGCGGCCCCGCCGGCGCGCGCGGCACGTCACGGCGAGCGCCGCGAGCGCGGCCCCGCCCCGCGGCTGAGGCGCCGCCCCTTAAAGGGGCCGCGTCCCCCCGGGCTGAGGCGCCTGAGGGAGGGGAGGACGCGCCGGGAGTCAAAGGAAGGGATCGCGTTCGGCTCCGCCAGCGCCGCCCCGACACGGCCCCGACACCGCCCCGACACGGCCCCGACACCGGCCCCGACACCGGCCCCGACACGGCCCCGACACGGCCCCGACACCGGCCCGACACGGCCCCGCTGAGGCCGAAACGCGGCTGCACAGAGCGGCCTCGCGCCTGTACGGAGCGAACGGGTGTCACGATACGGTATCACGATACTGCCCCGGGTCACTCCACTCACCTTCCTTCTGGAGAAGGAAAAGTATTGCTTTGACACAACATAAACACACTTTAAGCAAGTCACACTGTACTATTTAAAAAAGCAAACAAACAACCCCCCCGAAACCACAACAAGAATACGGTACTTTAATCATCCAAAACGTTTACTGGTTTACAGTCTGACAGCATATAGTGCTGATAGGCTAAAACACTCAATGCATGTTTCCTCAATGGAAATTTAAATTGAACACTTGCTTGGTTGTAGCTTACAAACACAGGATTACTCAAGCTGTAGAGAGAATGAGCCTATTTCTTTAACATACAACAGTAAATAGATAATTGCTTTGAAATATAGGCTATGTTTCTATGCTTAGCTGGGAACCAACAGAATCAATATATGCAATCATTTGACCTGTCCATTAAGGCTAAAAACAATCCATATGAAAAAAATATCATCTCTTAGAAAAAAAGACCTTGTGTTTCTGGTGAGTGGATATCAAAGTAATACCACTCTTTCACTCAGAATCAATGGAGTCATCCACAGGATCTCACCACCCCTGACAGCACTGCATCAGCGTCCACTTGGTTTGCTGAGACCATGGAGGATTCCTGGCTACAGACTGAATTCCTTCATTTATTCCAAACAGGATACACATCGTAGGCACAATTGTTGTTAATCGTTCCACGCACCATGCCAAAGGTCTTGCGGCATCTTGGACAGCCAAACCCTTCTGGCTGATTGCAACAACAAAACAGTTTTCTATTGCCCAGTCTGTCAGATTCCTGTCCTGAAAGTGCTGACAAAGTCAAATTCTTACCTGCTGTCTACAGAGCTAAACCAAGTATTAAGGTCCACTACTATCATTGGTGACAGGACACCTGAGAGCTGCAGCTTAAAAGCCCCTGCCTTTGATTAGGATGTAAATAATTAAACAGCTAAATTTGATTTAAAAAAATAAGGAAGGGATTTGGGTTATCATTTCCATAATCCAGCCTTTCAATTTTCTCCTTAATTTTCAAGTAGGAGATAACTGTCTAATCTTGTTAGATAATGATAAAATAAGTCATCATAGAATCACAGTACGTGAACAGATCCTGTGAATATGGCAGCCCTTCAACAAATGAAGGAAGACATTAGAGCCTGTTTTTTGACACAAAATTACTATGGTGCCTAGCAAATAAAAAGTAAAGTACAGCTTTAGGCAACTCAGCACATGACATGCTTTGGCCATCTTTATACAGCACTGTCTGTAAAAAAGAGACACTTAAATGTGATTTATGCATACTGTATAGGAACTTAAATTTTAAAATCTATTAAGTTCTTGGAAATTTACAAAAGCTAAAACCAAAAGAAGCCCTTTTGTTACTCATCAGATCACTCCTAGTTGTTTCAAGGTTATAGTAAGTATAGTCTTTGGTTTTAACAGAATTGATTCAAAGTTGTTTTTCAGAGCACATATTTATTTGTAATTCTAATAAAAGGCTGATTTTGAAATAGGGAAAAAAAAAGTTCTTCCACAAGTATAAACCAGTTATATACATCCCCACTGAAGGCACTATAGTTTAATATTCTCTGTACAGTTGCAGTAAAATTTGAAGTCACCTCTGGAATAAAGTCTGTCTTTAAAGATCCAAAACAAGATTTGCAGCAAATTGTGGGCACAGTGTCAGAGACTTGCTCTGTTAAGTTTTTATGGTATATACAACCTGTTGCAAACACCTCAGTCCCCTCCATGTAAACATGTTTTCTATACATAAAAGCTCACCACATTAAGACCTTTGAATGGAAAGAGCTGTCAGTTGAATTCTCTGTTGCTACAAATATAGCCAAGCAGTCCTTTAGAACATTTTTGTGACCTCAAAGCAAACTAGTACAGGACAGTCCATGCAGACCTACACCAAAAAGCCTCTAGATTTTTATATTGTTTCAAAGAAGTGTATTGTGATTATGTGCAGAAGTTGAAGTGATTCTTGTTGCCTTATTAATTTGCTTAAACAACTTTAAATACTTTAATAATTACTACACCATACAGATCTGACACTGCATATTGATTGATTTTCGCATGTCTTAGGTAGTGTTTCAATGCTGAGACATAAGTAAAATAGAAAAATCCTTTCTCAACAGTGTTACTTCAGTATTAAAAATGATAGATTTATATGAAGTACAAATAGCTTAATACAACAGCTTGAAATAAAGGATTTTTCATTTGCCAGCAATTTAGGTCAGTGGTTTTACACTTAAGGCTGCTTTTCCTGTACAATTATGCAGAATTTAAAATATGCATGTCCACTACTTCTAGAGAAATTGATACTTGTGAACGTAGATAAGGATTTTTAAACAAATAATATAAACTAATGTCGATGAACACATGAAATCAGTCTAAAAATATATATCCAGTTCAGATACAGAGCAAGACACTTTTGAAAAAGACTTAAAAGGATTTAGGTATAATAACAAAACTGTCATTTTGCAAGGCTCCTCTTTTTTTTTTTTTGGCAAGTCTTTTGTATGAGTCCCTCTAATCTCCTGGGAGAAGTCCTTTACCAACTTATTTTTGTTTGCCTTAAAGGGATGTCTTTAAACTTACTCACAGTATCAAGAACTAATGAAAAATAAACCAGTAGAATTACAAATAACATTGCTGTGAAAGATTTCTCTTCAGTGCATATGAACAAAGCTGAACAGCTCTACACAATGAGTCCAGCTGTTGGGTGAAGAATCCCTTATCACTAATGCATTGTTTTCAGGAATATACACAGCCCTCCATGAAAATAAGCGCCCCCGGATTTTCTAAAAAACATTTCAATTGGGTCATTATCTTCCCAATGACCTTAAATGTCCCATTCTTTGACTACAGACAATTATACCATTGATTTGCAATTACATTTTAAGTAGAAAGCTCAGCCGAAGTCTTGAAATACAAAAAAGTTCTTAAAAAAAAAAAAACAGTCAAAAACCAAGGTACAGAGACTGGTGCAGTTACTGTGTCTCCATGAAAAACGTGATGCATACCAGCACATTATATAGCTTTGCTTTAAAAGGAATGGGGTTTCCAGTCTTTTCCCTTCTAAGCCAAGTCAATGTAGTCCAAGATTGCCAAAGCCCACGGTGCTGACCGTGCTGACTCCACCGAGTTTTGACAGCAGGATTGCTAATTGTCTCCTTCAACCCTTCTCTTGCGAACTGCAACAAGACAGACAAAAAAAACGTTTTGCTATTTTACCATTGTAACTATTTTCTGTATTTCTACTACACGAACCTTTACTTTGCCACCTGAGGTTTCACACAGTACAACTTAAGGTAATGAACACTCGATGTAATCCATCATTTTAAGCTTATGCTTTGGCAGTGCTTATTGCCTTATTCACAAAACAGTTGCAAATACTTGCAAGGAAAGACTTGTGGGAAACATTAATCATCTTATGTCTGGTAAGCAGATTGAGTCAGTATTCTTTTTTTTCATTGCAGTTTTCTAGTGCTAAATTAGGTTTATGTGGCTTCAAAGGAAACAATACAAGAGTTTCACAGGATATCTAACACAATTTATACACACACAGAAGGTATTACATTCAATAGCCTAAAACATTCTATATATTAACAAAAACATTCAATTGTTAGAAAATGCAAGAGCAACAAAAAATTGTGAATAAAATCACTAAAAGCTCACATGCTATTTAGACTTGAGAATACACAAGATTGACTGAATGACTGGAGTTTTCCTCAATGTTTATATTATTTTTGCTATTTTCTTTTCACCCTATCAAATGATGTTTTCCTTTTCTGTGCAGACATAGACAAGGCTACAGGTCTTAGAAATTATATAGGGCATCTCCATTTTATTTTAAAAAGTCTAGCAAGCACCCCTATATACAAAGAAAGCGATTCTATTCTCAAAGCCACTCACTGGAAAGTAAGGTGACAGAAGTTATTCACATCTGCTTTCATCAAATGGCAAGAACAGAGGAAAGAATTTCCAACCTTAGACTTCTCCAATCATGCAGTTAAAAGCAACAGATACAGTTTCAGACAAAAAGCAGGCAAGTGGTACAACACAGTGTAAGCAAGAGAGAAAGAAGATGTAGATGCAGACTATCTTTTTGGAAGGAACGTACAAAGACAGAGATGAGAGACTTGGAGCATCTCAGTTTCAGTGCCGAATACCCAGCTGGGTATTCAGAGTGACCTGTCTCTGTAGCGTCACGGCTGGAGAGGTGAAAAGGTATTCCCAGAAACTTTTACTCACATACTCCAGACTAAGAAAGCAAAGAAAAAAAGGCAAGATATCAATAGAAAAATAGATTTACAACAGTCAAGTACTAACTAGAGAACTAGTGAGAAGAGAAACCTTAGAAAGTAAAGAGACACCTGAAGCATTATGACAAAAAAATAACTGGTTTAGAATCTGTTTTGAGAAACAATTATAGAGTGTCCAAGTGCCTTTCTTCTCTCTCTGTGCTCTATTCTAGTTACTCCTCCTCCATATCTTTCAGAGCTGTTCTCCTCCACTTTAACCTTTACTCAGAGGGGAAGCAGATCTTTAAACCAAAGTCCGATTTCCTGTGTCATTCCCTCTAATATATTCCTGAACTAGTGCTACTACTACTAAACTGCCTGGCCCATTTTCATGCTGATGAGACATATAATCTTTACCACAAACCATCTAAAGACAGAAGATTTAATTAAATAGAGTTTTAAAATGCAAGTCTATTTAAACAGATGGACCACATTATCTTATAGTTGAGTGCTTCAAGTATTTGACATTACACAAACAATTTCCATTCATGTGCTATATTATTAAATGATTTTCTGCGGATCCCTTTAGTTAGGATTCTAACAGATGAGCTCCAACAAAACTGACTGCAGCAAATAAAGATGCCACTGCTACCAGCTGGAGAGGCAGGGATGGTGCTTGTGCCTGACCAGAAGAGATGACCCAGTCCCACCCTCTGCACGTGACAGGATGTTTAGTTTCATTGCTTAAGCACTCCAGATGAGACTGGGTGTACTGGCATTCAACAGGGCATGCTACACTGTTCATTCCCAGTACTGCTTTTAAAGAAGCAGTGAATCTCATCTGAATAAAACTCAACAATCAAAACTATTATTTTTGCTCCTTTTGCCACAACTCACATGGAATTTGAATGTTCTTGTTCTAGACTATGTTAAAAATCCTCAACTCCTACACCTGAACACTCTGCAACAAAATAGAGAACATCAAGCAGCAAAAAGAACAGGAGTTCAGCACAGGAGAAACCTGAAACTGATGTAACATTGTGCTATCCTGGTTTTGTCAAGGGAGAAGCAGAATAACCAGACACCTCTATAGCCTGTGCCAATACACACATTCAGTTAATAGTCAGTCTGTACTGACAGGTCTTACCTAAATCATTATTTTTTGTGATAGCTGCAGCTGCTCTGGCTCGAGGTCCCTGTTGTGTGAAATGGTATCCAAATTTGAGGATCTTGGTGTTTTCTTCAAGCATTTTGGCAATTTCTACTTCTGCAAGTGTGCCCAGCTGCTGCCTCTGTTAAAATAAAAGGTCCACAAAGACAACAGAGCTTATGTGTGTTCACCCTAAAAGAGATCAGAATACTTTAACCCAATCAGCCAATAAACACTCAGTTTCATTATGATTAATCAAATAGGCAGAAGGTCACAAGATATGTTTGTGCACTTCAAAGCACCAGGAAGCACAGAAGGGACCTGGAATCAACTTCAGATGCATGCTGCCAAGAATCTTAAGGGCAGTTATTGATGGTGTTAAGATAATTAAACATAAAATACTTTGAAAAGTTTATCACAAGCTGTCTACTAAAAATATTCAGTCAACTAGGACTGGTTGGTTTTAGCTATGATATCACCATCACCACCTCACTTACCTGATTATCAATTTTGATCTCTGTCAACGTTTCATTGTCTTTCAGTGCATCAACCAATGCCAGAATTCCAGCTCCAGTGATGAAGTTTGATTCTATGTTTAAACTTTTTAATTTTGTGTTTACTCTCAGCATATCTGCAAGAGCCTTTGAATGTAAGAAAGCATCATTAAACTTATGAATTTTTCTGCAGTACGTCACAGGACATAGAAATCATCATTTCCATAGGAGCAACAAGTTCACCAGTACATGGTGTAACTTTGCAAGCTTTCACTTGAGACTGAACTGAATCTTCAACCAGGCATTATCTACATTCCCTTTTTAAATAGTACTGAGTCAAGAAAAGGCCTGTCTTTCTCTTGTTACAAACTAAAAAGCTACACAGAATACAAATTGTCTGAAATTAGCATATTGGACCAATTCCATTTTGTAAGCCCTCGCAGCCTACAATGAGTAATGCAAGCTGCTAAGTGAAGGCCAAAGAAAGGGCGTTAGTCAGCTGAGAGAATTGGATATGGTTAATTTGTAAACAGGAGATCTGACTTTCAGAATGCTTGTGCCTACAGATTTGGTAGGAAGAGGTAAAATTCAAAGCTCTAAGCACAATACCAGCATGTGGTTAAAAGCACTTTTATGGAAATATGCCTGATCCTCCTCCTGAGAAAGGAAGAAAACAAGAATAGCTGACTGCTGAGCTTCACTGTCATAAAAATCATACCCTGTACATTTTTTTCTATCAAGTCACAATGCAAAGAAACCCAACAAAAACCACACCCAAGAAAAGAAGCCTTTACAGATTTTTATTACATTCCGTTTCACTCCTGCTGAAAAGCAACTTTTTAATTGACCCAAACCCAAAGCTTCTCAAATGTTCATTTGTTTACTTAATTTAGTCTTTCAAACTAGTTTCCTTTTTATTTTGAAATGAAAACAAATGCAAAGGATTGTTCTGTCAAAACAATAAGTTTTGTTTTCTTACCTCTTTCTTTGCAAATAAATAAGGCACTGCTTTTGATTCAACATAGAAAAAAACCAAGATCTGATGATAAATTAGTTTCAACTGTATCAAACTAGATACCTTAACTAATATTATGCTTTGTATACAAATGCTTTAAGCAAATCTTTGGTAGCAGGGAGATCACAGAAACAGGTGTTTTACAATTTTCTTCAACTAAAACTCTAGTTCACTGAAAAATATTTTGAGCTTTTTCAGTTCTCTAATGTGCTTCTTGTAAATTAATTTTGAATATACTATTGGCTACTGGAATGAACATCAGGAACTAAACAAGTAGGAAAGAAAAAAAAACAGGAAAGAGATTAGCAAAGTGAAAAATCAGGGGGAAGGGACTGGAAAAAAGGATTCTCTCTCATCTCACACGTGATAAATTGCTGCATATTAGTCTGCTAAGTAATCATTTACCAACTTTGATACAACAAAGTTTGTTAAAGAAAACATACTTTACAGTGTAACAGAACGTAATCATTTTCATCCCTAATCATTTACACTGGATTAAATTCAATCCCTTACCACTGCCTTTCCATCCTAACTTCCCTTGCACCCCACTTAAGCACATTATCAAGATACTCACAACAGCAACAGGATCATTGCTTCGGGTGGCTGCCAGGCTAAAATTCTTCACATGTGTGTTGGTTTCTAAGGCTTTTGCAAATTCTTTCAGCGTTGGAATTGGTATGTTCTTGAATTAAAAATAGCATTTCACTCTCTTGAGATATGTAAGTTCCCCCCCCAACCCAGCTTCTTCCATTATCTTATTCTCTTTACAGCAAAATGTCCTATAATATTAACTACCACAGTCTCACAGTATAGATGCAATGGCTACAAGAGTCACCACTTCTATAAAGCAATAATTTTTACAGTGTGGTATCAACCAAGCTTAAAAAGAATAATTTTAGATAATTAATTAGGGTAGAAAATTTCTCAGTTTATTATATTAGGAATTTTGTTCTGTTGCCTTTTTAGGGAGCTGTTTTAGCTAGCATTTATCTATCATACAGTATTCTTAAACCAAGTATTTTATTTTCTTCCTTTAATAAGTGAAACAAGTAGCCTTGGCTGCTGACAAGGCTGTCACTGCTGTCTGCACTGTAAGTCAGCACTGCTGTAGTTCTGTTTTCTTTCAAGCAAATATACAAAAGTTTGTCACATTTAAAACCACAACTGTTACACTCAAAAGCTGCCCTAACAGCCAACAGTTCTTTTGTGCAAGAATTAGAAGGATGTCAGGTACAAATATAACTTTGTTTGCAATTACAGTAACTGAGAGCACATTGCTCCATCAAGGACAAAGGATTCAAAAAAGTAGTTCACAACAGTGAACTGCTGCCAACTTGGCAGCAACAGAAATCTGGGCTGGCAGTAAGAAGGTCTAAGACTTTTTAAGCACACATTTGGCAAAAGAATCCAAGATGGCTTATCGGTTTAGCTCCAGGTTTCTGAGCTTATACACACTGCAACATTTAGCAAAAAGGCTGCTGGACTTAAAATAAGCCTCTCATGGTCTCTTAGAGAGTTTTGCAGCTTTAAGTTTCTTCTACAGAGAAAAAGCAGTATATTTAATGCAGGCTTCAGGTAATTACCTTAATGTTATTTAGATTAACTTCAACAAGACGAGAATCATTATCTTTGATCCTTTGCAGTGTCTCCTCCACATTTGTAGGATTTGGTGGTTCATCAAAAACAGGCAACATTTTTTCACCTTTTACTATATCTGAAAAGTAAGGCATTTAAATTAATCAAACAGGTTGCATACATTCATTGTTAATAAATGATACATATACTAAATATTTATTGTATTTAAAGATAATTTAATCAGTCTTTACATCTCTCCCCCACCCAAAAAGCACACAGTCCTCTCCTGAAATATTTTCAAAAAGTTCAATCCTTTTCCAAAGGTCTTTACAGTCTTTCTGCTTTTATTGCACATCAGCTTTTTTCAGAAAGCACACGGAAGTTGAATTACAAACACAAATATAAAACTTAAAAATCAACACACACAATGCATGTTTATGCCTACTTTTGTCATCAAAAAGTGACTTAACTTTGGAAGACATTTTAGTGTACATATATTGTAATTCCAGAACTCAATTAGCAAATGTTATAGACATACACATTTCCACAGTAAGACTAAAGAGTCTAAAAGAATGTTGGTGCAACAGAAAATAGTTAATGCAATAGTAACTGTGTGCAGTGCAAAGAATTAACTTCTCCAGCACTTGCATACAAACACTTACTTGAGAAGCTGTCTTTGTCAATCCCATTACTGCTTCCTACTACATCACAGAACTGATTGTTTGTTATCAAGTTGGACATCCCCAGTATAGCTGTAAAAGGAAACAGAGAAACAGCAAAAAAGCATTTTTATTGTTCCTGACTAATTCAGCTCAGATGAAGGTTCCTTTAAATAACAAAAACTGATGTCTGTACAACATCCAGTTAACAGTACAAGAAGCCGTTCAATACCTAAATAATTTTTAAAAGTAGAAAAAAATTAATTATAAACTTTTTAGTTGGCTTTCATATCTTAGAAAAATTTGAGCTCACCAGGTTCCAGCTTCAAAGTTAAAAGTGTCATTCAGTCACAAAATGAAGCTTTAGGAACACAGGCACATAACAACACATCCTCATCCACAAGAAAAAGCAGACACCTACACAACAAAAACCAGGAAGTCTCAGGTTTTGAGTTTGAAAATCAGGTACCTTTTGCAGGCCAAAATAATTTACCTTCCTAAAAATTATCACAAATCAACAAAGTTGAAACGCTACAAGGAAGCTGATGTATAACATGATGTAGTTTCTATCACAACTACAACTTCCTGAGGTCAGATAAATACCATGTTAATTATAGATCTTTCTTGTCTAAAGATGCACCAGCCCATTCATATTTAAAAAAAAACTAACCTGCAAGGTCACCTAATTCTGTGTCTGTGGCACTGGTCAAGGCTTCCTCCAGTTCTGGATCAAGAGAGAATTTTTCTTCTGCAAAAGACTGTACAGGCTTTTGTTTGGGGATAAATATTTTCCCTGGAGTAAACAAAATGAAAAGTCTGATGTTACTTTGTGTTATGTAGTTACTTATTTTTAAATTGTTCTGTACACAAAGAATACATGTTATATTTAGTAAATCCTGAGAAGAGCACCACAGACAACAAAAAGGAATGAGGTTTCTTCTGTTGTTGCAAGTCACAGATGAGGAAAGAGGATAAAAAGAATACATTTTCAGGAGTCTGTATCATGACTTCAACCTTACTTGTTTCTCCTAAGGTTTCAAAAGTAACATATAAGCCTCCATTATACATTTTAAACAGTCTAGAAAAAGTGTCTAAAAAGATTTAGTATCCCTAGAGAACAGTGATCAGTATCCTCTCAAAGGAGGAGGGACCCAGGCAGAACTTTAATCTGAATGAGAGAAAATATCAAAGAATTATCAGAAATCACAGACCTGCATATTCAGTGCAGTTTTTACAGCATACATGATAACTTCTAATGTCAGATGTGAACTCAGTTCTGAAGTAATGCTTGAGAAAACCATGGTTTGTGAACAGCACAAAACAAGATAACAGATTTCTCTGGCAATGACACTGTTTCCTGAAATGATACTTAGAAAGGTCATGGAAGATTCAATGGTAAAAAAGCAATAGCAATACCACCAACTTTTTAGTTATTACAGGAAGTAATGAGAAAAGTTATTTTAGAAGACATGCATTATAAGTAGAGGTTTGTGTAGTTACCATAATTCCTGCATACATCTTCAGCTGAAAAGTTAGGGTAGGAAATCTGAATACAAGCAAGATATTCCAACAGTTCAGCTGTGAATGGTTTAGAAATGGCCTTTCAGAACACAGAAATCTACCACTGGGTAGGAGCCCTGGAGAGGTAAGGGGTGCTTAGGTTCTGGACAAGTTAACATGGTAAGTAAAAGCTCTGGTACTGATACATTTGATAGAAGTAATCCACAACTGCAAATCAAATCTTAACAATTATTAAAGTTTTTCAGACTTTCCAAGCTGCCTGAGCTATCAGCAGAAAGAGTTATGGGAAAGGGGTTCCAACTGCCTTTTGTTATTTCCTGGGGTAGGAAGTGGTACCGATGGTCTTCCTATGAAGTCTCAGTTCCAATTCAGGAACCCAAACCCACCCTCTTCCATATCCATAGTTATAAATACTTCCACACAGCATTCACCCTAGTTCATCCCAATTACATGATTACATGCACCACCATCAGGCCTCCTGGGCAGAAGGTAGAGCCTAAGATTTTTTCCCTGGTGCTGCTCACAAGTTGATCTTGTTACATGCTTGGGCTAAGACTAAGTTTAGTGTTTTGGAATCCCTCCCAGTGACACAAAGCTTTACAGGGATGTTTCAGTTTTATTTAGGGGAAATGAAGTGGGATTTTGGTTTCACCACTGGTGGGGAACAATGCCTGAAACCAGGTCCTGTGTCCCACAGCAGACACAGGCATCACAAAACACATCCACCTCTTCTCTCTCTCTCTCTCTCTCCGAGTTCCCATCCTAGAGTACAGTAGTTGTGGTTCGTTTTCTTTTTAAAGGAAGTTAATGCATTGCCTCTAGTACAGATTACAGAGACGTACATCAGGTTTTTCTCTGACAACACAGTCTGATGATCAAGGTCTGTTGCTAGCAACACGGTATTTTTGTTCCTGGGTTGCTATCTCTTTGGAAACTTGTGTAAATGGTCATTATCCATATTTAGAAGAAGAAAATAAACCTCCTTATGTAACTGTAATGACTCCAAACAGTAGCTGAATGCAGCTGACATGTATTACCACCCATATCTCAGCTTTGATGGACAGTGCAAAAGAAACTGTTTGTGGTGATTCAGGATTAAAAGAAAACTTTCATAAAGTAAAGGCTTAAGTAGTAGATGTTGCAGGTTATTTTAATATAATTGATACAGTATGTTTCTACCATTTTATTTTACCAGCATCACCTACTGAGGAGAAAACAACTTTCAACTTAAATTGTAATTTTCAGAAGACATACAAGAATGTTTGACAAGGTTTTCATTAACTCATGAAACAGCCATTCTCTCTGCAGCATCACTGCAGCAGGCAGAGAGCAGAAGAGGGAAATCAATTTCAATTAAAAGCAACTTTGCAAAAATGTATTTCAACTTAGATCAGCTTTCTATCTGCTTCATCACCCAGTACTCACAAAAAAAGAGCTACTTTCCCTGATGCTGCTTTTAAGTAATTCTTAAATTCATAGGTTAGGAATGTCTGGTTCTAAACATTTGTTTTCTAAGAGTAAGACTAATTTTATACATATATGCCTGACTCTTAAGAAAACCTAAAGAGAGTAAGAAGTATATTTAGTTTTTAATAAAGCAAAAATGTTAAAAGCCACTGCCCTCCAGAAATGTTCACTGCAGCCAACTCCAGTCATATGAACTGAGTCAGGAGCAGTTTTTGTTATAAAACAGGTCACACCCTTGTGTACATAATCTCTCATTCATTGGCTTCATGTCATCCTAGCCCAGAATTGAGAGGTTTACAATGCACACACAAAAGCAGGTCCTTCCCCACTCCCCACTTCTAGTAATGAACTTATTTCAAAAGGGGTAAGACCTCTGTGTCTCTGGGGACAATGATCTAACTCAAGGCCTGCTGCCAAGATAGTTTGGCAATTCCCTTCCTCTCTCACTAATGCAAGCTTTAAATAAAAAAACCAGAAACCACTACACATCTGTGCAGCCTAAGAGATGTACAGCTTTCCTGGCCCTCAAGTGGAACATTTCCAAGTAGCAGGGATTTGATTCCATGAAGGAACAGGACATCCTCCTTCTCAGCCAACGAGGATATTGCGAGGATTAAGCAACACAACACGAAGAGGCAAATGTTCACATCATTTTGGTAATAATTATATATTCAGGTCTCCCATGCCTTTTAAGCTAAAATGTTAGATGATGCACATCCCAGGATTAAGTCACAGGCCTTCTTTGCTACAGAATGAACTTGCAGTTCCAAGTTCCACACAATTGTATTGCTCAAAAGGCAGGAACACTGGATGTTGTTTGTTGAAGTGCCCTGGACATTTCATACACAGACTCACAGTATCCCAGGTGGGGCTCAACATGTTGCAGAAATCAGGGCTGTTCAGTGGGGCCACCACTGCATATTGCTGATACTATTCTCACACATCCCACAGTCCTACCCCCATTCCAGCAGGCAGCAAGCAGCCAGAATTTACACAGCAGAAGAAAGTCTAAAATCCTCTTTTGCAGTACTCCATTTGTGGAAATGAATCAAGTGTTACCTCAGGACAGCTGAATACAAGTTTTTCTCATCAGTGGCTTCACAAAGAAAAGTAAGTAACATCTGATATATTCCTTACATCTTATGTTCCTTAAAGTCTCCTCAGTTCAGAGGAGACTTCATAATCCACACTTCATCAATCTCCAGTTCTTACTATGTGAGAGACTTAAGTTCATCAATTCACTTGTAAACACAATTTAATACTAATTTTTTTTAAATTCAACTTACAAGTAACTTCCTCAGTGTCTTACTGCAGAAACAGAACTGTTACTTGTTATCTGACTGCAAACCACAGAGCAGTGAGTGAGAAAACTGTTTTACATTAAGGCTGGAGTATCACTCTTGTATGGAGAATGTCAATCCCACAAGCTGCTTCTGCAAAGCTCCTACAGGATATTAGCTTCACTTCACAACATGTAACACACTTCTTTAAAGACCAGGGATTCAATGGCAAGCAGAGAACACAGCATCCCAAATCCTGCTGCAACAGAAGGCAGTGGTGATCCAGAGCAACAACTGAGCAGGGTGGTAACGAAAGAGCTCTAGCCAGGGGGCTGCAGTTTGAGCCTAACAACACTTCCCTGGTGATACAGACAAATCCAAACAAAACCAAACAACAAACAAACAAAACCCTCAAACTTCAACAAGCCCCAAGCATTAAAGCAGAATCAGAGAATCACAGAATCAGCTACATAGGAAAAAACCTCTGAGATCATGGAGTTCTGCAAATTTACCCAGAACAAATACTCTGGCAGGAAAGAAAAGGGAAAGTTGGAAGAATAGGCTACAATTAGGAAAGTGCAAAGGCTAGAAATGCAAAGCTTAGTTTACATAATACTTTGCTAATGCCTTCCACAATACAGCACAAAGTACATTACTAATCTTAGATATGTTTTTCTCTCAGGTGCAATAATTCCGTTTTTTTGCTGCTCCCAGAGAAGTGGGGAGCATTGGTGAAACACACTTGAGGGCAACAGTCTCCAGCACTAAAGCCTTTACTGTATGCATGAGAGATCCTTCTGCTTGCAGTGTGCCTTGTAAAATCTTTATGACATACTTCCATGCACAGATTAAGACAAAGCTGGTTTTGTTGCAATTATTACCACACTGCTCTCATGAATCTGTTGAACAATGTTTTACTGTACAGTTCAACACTTAATTGAAACAGAATGTGACTTAAATCATTAAACCATGTTTAAAAACAAAGTAAGTTTTTACTGATGCCTTTAGAAACAAAATCAGGCACTGGAAAAATGGAATAGGATATAATTTAGGGATTGTTAAACTTTACATTACTTTAGCACTGTTCATCTCACTATAGCAGGACACTTTACATTATTTCAGATCTTCCACATTTCATAGCACAAAATAAAAGAGAGGTTCCAAAGACTTGGAAGAAATCACATCCTCTATCACTGAAAGAGATGCAATAGTGTTTTACAACATGCTCCCCCAAAATGAGGTACTTGAGACACCTGGAAGAGAGGATTTTCATTTACACTGTAGTAGGAAAACAAGGTAACCAGGATCAGCAGCAAGCCAGGGTGGCTAAATTTAACTCAGGATAAGCTTCTTTGATAAATCTGCAGGTCAAATCACCATGCAGAACATCAGTTCTACTAAAATAGAATAGGGAGAGAGAAGGATAGATTTGACCCCTCTTACTCCATGAAATGAATAATTAGGCCAAGTTAGAGCAACAAGACCAGCCAGGCACACAGAAATGTTTTAGCAAATCCTGATCCAAAAAATGGCACCAAGAAAATAGCTGCAGTTCAAATCCATCTCTGTCCTCCCAAAACCTCTGGAACTGAAGGTTGCATTTGTCAGTTTTCTCCTGAATTAACAAGAGAATCAGGTGAGATTTTCATCTACCCCTATTCTACAATGTTTTTAGCATTTCTCCGTAATTCTCTTCTAGCCAAAGAGAAAAATTATTATCCAGCCTAGTTGTTTGTTATTTTTTCTTTTAGTATTAAAGAAAAGCACATTAGGATACAAGCTCCCTCTAGACAAAAAACATCCTACACATCCGTTAAGTTTTACCTCATGCCCTTTCCAAATTCTGTATCTAGATAAATACAATGATTCCTTGATTGAAAAGATTAAGTTACACAGATTTGCCATTTTTATGCAAAATCAATACAAACGTGGCAGCAAGTCAAAGCTGAACCATAATATTTCCATGACGGGAAAAGAAAAGATTATCCCTCACCTACTACAAAATGAGCTTGGCCTTCTTGCCTCCTGCCCATTTAACAGAGCATGAATTTCCACACTAAACATTTGTTTCCACATTTTTAGTTTTAATGAAAGTAAGCTCCATTCAATTTTTCATATTATTTTCTCTTCTTCTATGGCATTAAAATAAATGGTGGAAAAAGTTATTAAACATCAACTCTCTTTTTTTCCAAGAGATACAGGAAACTTTACTAACTAAACTGGTATGACTCATTGCAACATGCAGACACTCTGCAGTTTAGTAATACTTTATTACAAAAAGGAAATGACATTTGATCTTTCTTAACCAAGATCTACGTTACAGCTGGTCCTTTCTGTTTTTCTACTCGATTCTCACAGATTTTATCTACCCAAACAAATACTTGTGCTGTGTGCATTTAAGTTGACTTCAGAGAACCACCCACCTGAACCATAAGGCACCATACCTGCTGCTGTGGGCACCTTCTGCACCCAGTACATTGCATTATCCTTATCTCAGCTACCCTTACAGATCCTGCCAGCAGAGGAGTGTCACACTTATCTCCTCAATACAAGTGGTGTTGAACTTCAAACTAAGGTAAACCACAGTGTATGGAGGAAGTAGTACATCATACACAGAGTGCAGCATATTGTAAAGTCATAATCTCTCTGTTACTTCAAGGAAAAAGTAGAAAGACACCAGCATTGTCAAGTAAAGCTACCTGTCACAGGCAGAGAAAATGCAAATATGCCCAAGAAAATTTTCACCAAGTATACACCACTATCATATAGACAAACTCAGAAGATGAATGAAGACTCAAATCTGAAATAAGCAATGATTCACACCAGAGAATTAAGTTGAATTAAAGGGTTTCAAACCCTTAAGAAAAGAGGAGCCAAGTTCATCTTGGGTAGCTGGAATACAACTCAGCAAACAATTTGCTGAAGTCTCAGTGCAGCAGATCTGCCCCTGCTGCTGGGGAAGGTTCAGACAAGCCTGGATTCACAAGCACTCAAACACTGTGGTGACAGCTAAAGGCCTCCTCCCATGCATATGTACCCAGCACAGCTCTGGGAGTTTCTGTCCTTACCAATACTGCTTTGTAAGGCACAATGGATTTGGGAACTCTTGTTTTATGGGAAAAATATGAAGTTATTCTTACAATATTTAAGATGCACATCATTTTTTAACTTTCTCTGGAAAAGGCAAATGCTCCCATCAAGTCAATGAGAATATCAGATCCAAAGCAAAAATTTCAAATAATAACATGTCCATGGTTTTTAAACCACAAACCACAGCCAGATTTCAAAACTTGTGATGTTAACTACGTAATTACTTAGTACTAACTATGCAATCTTATTAAACCCTTCAGGAAGGACACTAGAAAAACAACATGACTGCATACACCACTTGTCTGGCCTTCTCAGCCTACAGCATCTTTGAACATTGCTGAGTGTCTTCCACAACATCACTCAACTGCTATTTTTCTAATTCAACACAGTATTACAAAGGTTGCTGCCTGTGTTTAGCACAAGGCACAAGCCACAGGCACAATGACGACATTTGTTATTACTGACGCAAATCAGGGTTAGCTCTTACTTTGAGGTTCCCATCCTCAACAGAACTTGGCAATTTATGATAAAATCTTTGAGTCTTATTTCCTTCCTGTGCTACATACAAACAGCACACCAGCTCCAGAGGCACAAAATGCCTGAACAGGAAGCCTCCTGCCTCTGCACAGCAGCACTCGCTCAGGAACGCTGCAAGTTAAAAAGCATTAGAGCTGCCAGTGCTCCAATAAAATTTGGTTCACAGCAGTTCTGGCTGGTCCACTTCAGGGATTTCATAACCACTTGCACCAGAAAGGGTGGTGTTACCTTTCTTTTCTCTTGTAAAAGGCACATAGTCCTCCCTGTCCTTGTGCTCAAGTGCCTGCTTCTCCAAGTACGCCAGGAGCCGCTCCCGGTCGAAGGGACCCGAGGCCTTCTTTGCAGTCTGGTCCTTCTGCCGGAAGCCTGCGGGCAGCAGAGCGTTCTGCCGAACAAATGGAGCAAACAAGAACGGCTTAGAAAGTCTGGGGGAACACCTGCTTAGTTTCATTTCCCTCTTCCTTCTCCCTGTCCGCAAGGTTCAAACCTGAGACATCATCCTTTTCAGGCTTTGATCCCTTGCCAACTTCCTTTTTTGGGGCAAGGGAGGACACAAAGTAACCTGTTCTTCAGACACAGAGAATGTAATGTAAAATACAGCACACTGCCCTCTGAGTAGGACTGAAGCGATTCTTTAAGTACAACAGCTCCCAGCACTCGATTTGCTCATTACTTTGAATTTTGTTTCTAGAATGAGCACTGTTTAAATGAGTAGTAGTAAATAAAACTCAGCTATTTCCAGTTTAGACATTCAGTAAGAGCCTACTTCCTCTACCACTTACTTACGTGTTTTTAAGTCTTTAAGACAACTGACTCTACCATTGTTTGGCATCTAACATAGAGTATTGCTACTTTTGACCTAACTCAAGGTGGGGTGTTTCTTTGACATCATCAACATATTTTAACTAAAGAGAAAAAAAGAGGATATTAGTAAGGGAAGAACAGAATGTATAGGAATTCACACCGTTTTAAAACACAACCAATCCCTTTTGCTAGTTCTCCCCTGTTAAAATACCCATAAAGCCAAAGGCAATTAAAATATCAATAATACCTTGCAGTGCAACAAAATAGGTGATAATAACATTCTTAACTGATCCCTGAACATCAAGATTAAACTTAATCCTGATACTATTAAAGGAAAAACAGAGAACCACTAGGTGAAAACACAAGTCTTGGAGTCTGACATTAGCTGCAGTATCAGTAGAGGACCACTCAGCTCATTATAGCAGAAAGCTCTAATATTCCAACACCCTATGCTGACATAATCATTCAGGAGCTCAGTAATTATTTGCCTTCTCTTTACAAAGTCAGCATGAGGACAGGAATAGATACAGACTACCAGATACAGGACCAGGAATCTTCAGAAGAGGTTAGCACCCTGCCTCTCCCATCAAACTCTAACAGCAGAAGTAGTAAAAGAAAAATGGATGCAAAAGGGTCATTTACTGGAAACAGGAAAGTTAAACAGGCCTTTCTAAATAAACTTTCTTTTCAAGAACATGACAAAGAGCAATTTTTATTTATAAATAAATCCCAGAAAGCTCCTCTTGACTATCCCTTCTTCCATTCTCCTCTATTGCAGTTCCTTGCCAACAGGAAATAAACGTTATATACATGTGTAGCAGACTAGGAAAAACTCTGTCCAAAAGTATATCGTACAAAGTCTCAACTTATCTGACCTTAGTTATGGAACAAATGAAAAAAATAAAACTTCTCTTGGCTAATGCCTACCTCAGGGTCAAGATCATCCAAAACAGTTTCCAGTTGTTTCAGTTCTTCTTCCGAAAGTTTGCCAAGAATTTCATCCTCATCGAGGTCTTTGTACTTGTCCAAGTCCTTTCGAAATGGGAGCGTCATGACTTGGGCAGTAGCAAGTTGCTCAAATACTTCCAAACCCAAGTCTTAATTCTTAACCAGATCTATGAAAAAAAAGTTTTAAAAACAAAGAACCATAGTTAAGGCAAATATCCCAGCTACGAAGCATCTTCAACTTCCAAATACATCTCTGAAAGGAAAGCTTTTCATCCAGTAGTCGTATCTGTTACTCTACAGCCAAGGAGCACATGGAAGCTGTGTACACTTTGCTTCTCCTCTGACGAGAATCCCGTCCTGCCATGCCCTTTTCCATCAGTAACTAAGCCACCTCTATTTCCAGATGAAAGTCAGTACCCAGTCTTCTCAACGAGAACTCCAAGGCCATAATTCCCACAGAGTAGGGCAGGTTGTAGGGTAGGAGGGAGGACATACCAACTCTACCTAGTATTTATGAGTCCAGTTAACGCCAGTGGTTTTTATGCAGATGGTCATTTTCACTGCAGACAATGCAGCCAAAAGAAGAGTTAAGATGCTCCTCATTTATTGTTGCTGCTGCAGTTCGAGGGCAGTTAAGGAGAACTTCACTATAAACAAGCTAATTGGTTATTACTGACTCATATCCCTGCATATTACCTACAGAGGAAACAGAGGAAGTTTGCCTCTGAGTTAATTATAGAACTACCATTGAAGCAACATTCTGTTCTGTACAAGGAAAATCACAATACCCTGATGAAAAGTGTAAGAGATACAGCTCCTAAGTAGCAGCACTCCAGTCAATCCTACAAAAAGAAATTATTATTTTTTTTAATTTTAAAATAAAGAACAGACTATGTAACTGCTCTCAAAATATTACACTTGGAGGAAATAATCAGGGTCCTTCAAAAGATGTACAGTCTATATAGCACTTCTCATGGACAAGAAGAGTGCAGGGAACCTTTTTCCTAACACTCAGAATTTTTGAGCATTTGTTTTGGGAAAAAAACAGTTAATCACAGCAGTGTTGAAGCAGACAAGTTGTTTCCTCTCATTTTTGTGAAAGAAGTTACAGGATTCTCATTTTGTTCAACCAAATTCCTGCTTCAAGTTGATTGAGCACACAGACAAAAAAAGATAACTTGAATGACTCTCTGTAGGTAAGCAAGAGTGCCCATAAGGTATTTGGGGAGCAAAAGCTAAATCCATACATTCAGGCTCATTAGTCTCTTTAAACCCTTTCTTGGCTCTATAGAAATACTCAACACAGACTAGACACACAGCAAATGTTATTTCTTCTCCAGTAGCCCCATTCCAGGTCAGATGCTCACAACCACATACACAACTGCATTGCTTCAAACCTGCACTTACAGTGTACTTAAAAAACAGATCAATGTAGTTACTGGCTCTTAAGTAAAATAAAAAGAAGGACTGCATATACATACACACTATACCATGGAATTCTGCTTACAGGATTCCTTCTCCTCAGTTGTTTACACCAAGAAAGGTCTCCCGGGCTGCCACAGTTACATTTTAATTCAGAGACACTAAACAGACATGAGCACATAAAGCTTCATCCCCACTGTTCAATCAAGTAAGTGTACCTGTAAAGTAAATCTGGTTTTAACAATTGCCATTGCAAGAATGGTAAATTTTCAGTCCCTAACAACATCTACATCTGAATGAGGAATATATTTACAGATACTTTCAGCATGTCTTCTTTAAAAAAATATTGCAGATATAAATACTAGACCATGCTTGTAAACTACAGCTGACATCGATGGAACACAATTCCAAAGCTGAACTACCAGTTTAGGCAGAGTTCTCCTGAACATAACAGAAACCAGGAGGAATTCCCAATTTCATGGTAAATTACATCAAAAGAACACCACCTGGCTTCCTCCAAACTAAACCCAATCATGCTGAAGGAGCCTGGACCTTTTGCAAAGAGGCTGCAGAGGTAGGAGCATCCGAGTTTGGTGGCTGCAGAAAATGCAGAGAGCAGCATGCCTGTGTTTTCCTAAGTTCCAAAAGTAACTAAGGAGTGTCTCTGTGGCCGAGAGAGCCACCTCCCACAGTTTTCCATAGTCTAGTGGTATTTGTTTCTCCAGGTGCACAGCAGCTGATGGACAATTAGCTGATGACAGCAGATGCCACACAATCTGCATGAGAACTTCTCATTCCTAGAGCCTTAATGTTTTGCCCTTCCTGACAGTTCAAGCCATTACACACTATCATATGAGAAAACATTTCCTGCAGCCGATTATACAGCATTGTTTGTGACCAGGCTGCACTGTCTGAGCCCTACATCAAGACTCTGCTATTTACCACATTTCTGCATGTCCATTTGCATTCAAATATTAAAAGGCGTAGTTTTAAGAGGTAATTACAAGGAGCAGAATGGTTAGCAGGCTGTAGAATAATGCTGCCCTTACTCTGACAGAGAGCAGCACTGCATAACCATACATTATCTTCACGTAGGCTGTATTTCCTCTCCATTAATTGCTGTAAAATGCTGCCATCCAGAATTAATTACCTTTTATTTACTGCACTGGTACGTTTCATATGGAAAAACTACTCATCCTTTGCAATACATTAATTAATGTTCAGGTCACAGCCCTTGGTCTCACTTGTTTCTATAATATGACCAAAGAAGCCATTTCAAATCCTCAGCTACAGCGTTCAGGCACACACACACACAAAATGAAAAATAAAGAAGCAGAACAAAAGCTCTATGTCTCTGTAGCTGAGTCTTCACTTCATCAAGAGGAAGAGAACCACATGCAGCCTGGTAAATATAAATTTATGATTTGGACATGTTTTCTAATATCTACCAAAGGTAGTAGGTTTTTTGTAATATGAAAGCACACTTAATGTGACAAACCTTTAAAACTTTATGATGGTAGCATTGATTAGTACATCTGTACTACACAGAGATAGCTTGGAATGACTTAAAGAAACATTCCCTACAAAAGAAATCACAGTATATAAAACACCAGTATATAACATGCTAAAAATCAGGTTTTAAAACACGGTGTTAGGAATTCTTACTGCATAAAAGGGCATAAAGGCCAGCTGAAGCCCTAATCTAATCAAATAAGCCCTTCATCTCACATTAAACACACTTGGTACTCTATCTGTTTTCCACCGCTCACTGCAGCAGTTCTGCATAGAGACACGAGAGAAAAACTACAAGTTTTTAGACAGTGCAGTTACTCAGCCTGTGAATATTTGTGGCACATTATATATATTTTGTGTGTGATCTTACTGCAAAATCACAGGCAAAAATGTAACCATCAATTTTGGCTTTGCAAATACTTTGCCCTTCTTTGATGAGCAAGCTAGTTTTGTTCTAAGTATCCTTCTTAGCTTTACCATGAAAACATTACATATGTTAAGAGTCCAAAGGGCTTTTTCAGATATATAAGGGGAAGTTCTTCAGCAACTTCATAGTCACATAAGAAATATTTAGGGAAATGGAAACAAAGCCATCACTTCCAGTCCATCCAATTTCAATTCTCTGTTTATTATGCAGAAGACAAATTGAAAAATTAAAAATGAAAAAACTCTGCTGGGTATCATAGAGACAAAAATCTTGTTGCTATTCCTTTACCTGAGAAATCAATTAAGAACTAAAGAAGTGAGAAAACAGCAGTAACTTTACTTAAGGCCATTTTATAATTACCTGAATCATCCCCTGAAAGACTGTCAAGCAACTTCCACACACCTCTTATCCACAAGTTAAAGTATGTTTGTTTTCTCCTCTCCTCTCTAAAAGTATACTTTTAAAAACCAAAAGATTCTAAAAATAGCAAGCTGCTAATTTTTCTTTAAAAACTCCCCACTTTGCCCCCCAATTTCTATTATATTTAAGAACACAATTTCTTGGGACCAAACAGGAGAAACTCTTTAGAAACAACCTGCCCACAGGAAACTCCAGTGTTGTTAAAGTCCACTGCAAATGGTTTCCGTGACTTGGATTTTAAAATAGAAGCAACATCACGAAAAACAAACCGAGCTGGTTTTGGCCAGCACATTCACAGAGTTCACTTTAATCTCATTTGTTCCTCCCAGGCCTCCTTCCCCCCAGCCTCTGCGTGAACCCGGCCCAGAGCAGGGGGGTCCACAGGGCTGTCAGCATTCCTGCACCACTGAGGGCCCCAGACCATCCCAGCTCCTTGGAGGAGCCTAATCTGAGCATTTCCCCAGGGAACCCCAACGATGGCAACAATTTTATTTTCCAGATTATACAGAACTGTTTATGAAGAATGTGCTGCACTTGAAAGAGCTATCTTTACTTACCAAAGCTAGGAGAAAAATTAGTAAATGTAACTATTACCATAGTCCCAGAAGGTTCCTTAGGATATTTTTCTAATGCCTCTGCTGAACAGCCCAATGCTGCTTTTCTTAGCAGAAAGCTCTCAAAAACCCATCTGAGCCTCCCAGAACTCCAGCCTGGGGTAGGGCACGGGATCCAGGTTCTCCTGCCCAGGGAACCAGCAAACAATGCCCAGCCCAAAGCCTTATGGAGCCAGCAGGTGGCAGCTCATCTTTGCCTAAGCTTTTCATCAGGGCTAAATTGTGTTTTCCAGGCACAGAAAGGAATAGCTATTCTGGGCTATTTTCCTAGAAAAGCAAGCCCGAGGCTTCATTCTGTTCAAGGAGGCAATTCACTAAGTTTTACACATGGCGAACTGGGCTTCCCCAAGTTCACATTTGTCCTCGAGGTGACCCGAGGAGCGGATGGGGAGAGACAGCTACTGCAGAGGAGCTCCACAGACCACAAAGATGCTTTCACGATGAAGGAAATCTGAACACATCTATGTTTGTGCTTCCTGGCAGCTCCTCCTCTGTATCAGAGGGCACCTGGGACCAGACAAAGCCCACTTTGGTCTTCTGTATGTTCTGTATACAACAACACTGAACTAGGACACAGCTGTCTTGCAGGCAGGGTGCTCCGAGCCATGGCTAAGCTGTCAAACTGGCATTGTCCCATAAAAGCTTACCCCTGTGTGCCTGTTTCTGAAAAGCAGTCACCCAGTGCAGGGCTAAATGAACATGCCCACCCAGTCCAGGCAGCAGCGAGGGTGACAGGGCCAGGAGCCCTGAAGCCTGTACTTGGCAAGCTGCACAGGGCACGGAAGTGGCAGCAGTTCAGCACACCCATCTCTGTGACACTTCCAGGCATGCTCATCAAACTTGCTGCAGGGCAGGTGTTATGATCCCAAATAAACACAAGGCCAGGATAAGGTAAAAATCCCAAGTACCACAGACACTGCCTGCTCCGAGAAGTTCTTCTGGCAGAAATCACCACTCCAGCTGTCTATTCCCTCTCCCAACACGCAGGGCAGCACCACGGAGTCAGGAGTTATTGACCAACCAGGATGTGGGATGTTTTGGCATCATTATTTTTCAGACAATACCTGGATGTTCATTAGAGATCTACTGCCCATGGACATTAATACACAGTATCTCCTCCTGGAGGAACTGCCTGCAGGTGTTTTAGTCAAAAAGAAACATCAGGTGCAAACTATCTGAAAGTTTATAGAAACATTCAGATATTCCTATCCATTGCAGAAAAGTGGAGAAACTTGCAAGCCTAGAACAGGACAGCAGAAGAAATTAATTTCATCCCCGTTATGTTACTCCAGGAAAACTTCTGAGTACAAGCCAGGTTCAGCTTCTCCCTTACATCATGGGCTGTACACCTGACACAGACACCAAGCTTTAGTCATGAGGACTGATTCAATACATTACAGCAAACTCAGAGCACACAGCAACCTCTCCAGAACATCGATTACTTTCAACGCAGCCTGCGCCTATCCCAGAGAGCCGGGCCGGCAGGCGCTGGGGACGGGCCCCGAGAGCTCCGTGCCCACTGCCGGGACAGGCCGAGGCCGCCGGGAGCGGCACCCCCCGCCCGGGGCCCGCGGTCGGGGCAGGGAGCGCACCCCGCCCCGGAAAGGCATCCCGCCGTCACCGAGCGCCGGGCAACCGGGGCGAAACACACGGAGCCAGCTGCGGGGGCTACGCTGACCGGACCCACAGGCGAAGCTTTCAAAGCCAAAAGTTTTCGGGTCCCACGGCAAAGTCGGGAGCCGGCTGCACAGCCACCCACCCCTCACCGGCACGCCCCCGCCCGGCCGCTCTCAGCCCCGAGCCCACCGACCACGCAGCTGCCCAAGCCCTGCCCCAGCCCGGACCTCCGAGACGCCAGCGGGGAGCCGTGTCCGCCGGGGTCCGGCCGGCCGCCCACAAAGCCCCGTCTTTCCTCCTCCCGCCGCGGGCGCGGCCCCTCCCGCCGGGCTCGCACCGCGCCGCGGCAGCGGGCGGAGGGCAGCGCTCCCCGGCACCCCGCGGCCGCCGGCACCGCCAGCACCCCCCGTCCCGTCCCGTCCCGTCCCGTCCCGTCCCGTCCCCGCGGCTCTCCCCGCTCACCCGGGCGCGGCCGCAGCAGCTCCCTCAGCCCGCCCCGCGCCTGCGCCCCGCGCACGCCGCGATCCCCAGAGCGGGCGCAGGCGCGGGCGGCGCCTCACGGAGCGGGCCCGGCCCCTCAGCCCCGGGTCCGGACCGGGAGCGGCGGGGCCGGGCGGGGTGTGCGGGGAGCAGGCTGCGCTGGGGAAAGGTGTCCCTGCCCATGGCGGGGGTGGATCGAGGTGGTCTGTAGGGTCCCTTCCAACCCGAACCGCTCCGTGCCCGTAGGTGCGTGTGGCAGCACCTCCCAGGCGGGCACAGCGTGTGTGCTGCCAGCGGGGGCAAACTCCTGTGTGTGCCTTCGCGGCTCCGCATCCTTGCAGATCTCTCTCGTTGCTTCTTCTTCCTTCCTTTGGCCCTTTCAGGTCTTCGCCTCTGCCCGCATTTTGTTTTCTTCTGTATTCGAAACGTGCAACTTTTCCCCTCCAGGCCGTGGTTGCGTTCAGTGCCGTCTCTCCCTGACCTACAAAAGGAGCAATTACAGGGACACAGTGGCTTCTCCTGCTCCTGTTGGCACCAAGCAGGTGGAGTCCAAGCCCTCTCAGGCTCTGGAGTGTGCTCAATGAATTTTGGACGTTTCAGTTACCAAATATGATGCACAAACACTGTGTGCTGGTAAACATTATCTGTGTACAACTGTTTAAGATTTATAACATGAAAGGAATCTGGACAGGTTGTCCTGAGAAAAGTGAAAAATTTAACTTGATCTAGTCTGTTCTCTGCCAAATTTCAGTCTACATGAAAGCTGGAGCTGCTCACAGGCACCAGCCTTCAGAGGTCTGGTTTTTGTACTGTGAGTTCTTATCTCAGTGTTGGAAACTTCAAAATAAATAAAAAACCACAACAGTTAAAATTAAGGCCAGTTGTCTGGTATGTGCTACTTGAATGGCTAAGTTCTGGCAACACAATGGAAAATAGGGTTTTACAGCAGAAACTGTTGAGTAACTATCCTTGTAGGCATTGCCATTCCTGCCTTCAGAATAAGGCACTGTAGCATGAAAATAATAAGCAATAATCATTAATTAGTTCAGATACAGCAGTTTGAATCTGCATTTTCCAGATATCAAGGATGCTACAATACAGCTGTGACCTGCAGAAAAATGATTCCCAGGCTTACACAGTAGGTAATACCAAGATTCTGATTTTTTCAGAGTCACTGGAAACTCTTGGCAGATTTGGGAAAAGAAATTGGAGGTGAAATGTTGGCCCCCCTGGCATCAACATGAGTTCTGCTGTCTGCTTCAGTAGTGCCACGATTTCCATAAGATATATAGAGTGTAAGGTATCATACATCAACAATCTTATTTAACATAGAATTTATTTAAAATATGTTAAATTTTAGTAACTTATGGCTAATGCATTACTTAAAGATTGCTTGCAAAGTCCTGACTGTGCTGAAGTCATTAGTGAGGCTCTTATTACCTTTAACAGAGACAGATAAATTATACTAAAATCAAATTTGTGCAAACTTAAAATGGAACATTCGAATTTGTTGGGCTGAACCATCTGAGAGTGCTTCTCTTCAAAGGAAGAAGCTCCCAGTGCATGTAAAGGAGGAGGCTGGGGCTGGTCAGTGGGTGACGGGCTTTTGACCACTGTGAGATTCTCCCTTGTGAGGCAAGAAACCCACAAAGCCATGCTGAGCCATTCTGGCACCATGGGTGAATGAAGAGACACTTTTGTAACCACGAGAGCACTTCTGTAAATGCTCAGCAGTAGATTCATAACCCTCCAACCATTAGAAGGCTGGTGGTTTCCAGGCTGACAGACCAACGCCTGCATCAGAGGGCAAACATAATGTTCACAACAGGATTAGTAGAGGGATTTCTTTTTCAAAGGCTGGGATACAATTTAAAACAATCTTACATCACTGAAGGAAGTGTTGCAAATATGAAAACTGGAAAGACATAGAAGACCTGGACAGCAGTGGAACTTCCACTGGTACTGAAACAATGCACATGCACAGCAGTAGTGGACGCAGCATGAAGCTTCTTCACTGCTGTTCACTGGGCTGAGCTGTGCACAGCAGGAAAGGAGCATCCAGAGCCTCAGACGTAATCCTAAAATGATTTAATCATAATATATTTACTCTCTACAATGATGATGTGGTACAAACAAAGAATGTTGGTTCAAAGTATATATCTTGAGAGAGAAATATCTTCCTGTCTGGGGAATTCACACAGGATATAGACAGGAAGGATATTGTCAGTAAAGTAGATAGAGGATAATAAAAATCAATGCCTGACCCTCTATCCTATATATCTTTTTTTTATGAGAGTGGCCAAACTCAATTGAAACAAATTATGACTGAGGAAATCATACTTCTTCCATTGGCAGCAGAGAAGGACAGGTTTTGGTCCTGGTTCTCTTGAGACACAACCCTAACATTTGCAGAACTTTATGTTCTGACATGAAGGGTTAAGACGAACACATTCCCATGAAAGAACGGCTTATACAGCCTTTGGTAGGACACCACAGGGATAAGCTACCTACCCATGTTTGGGAATTTTTCCCTCTTCTTGCAGATGGCTGCCTTGTGGCCAGCCCCAGACCAGCCTAGGTGAGGCATGTCTGGAGACAAGCTCAAGCACTGACCATCAGCCTCACAACATTCTAAGCCCTGTCTAATGTGCTCTGCCCAGCACCTGGGAACACATCTCACAGGGTTTTGTTTCTGAAGTGCACCACTAAGACCTTTTAGACATATCCAAAATGACCCAATTCTTGGTGAACTGGCTGTATAAAAGAAACATGTGGTATGAGAAACTTCCCCAGTGCATACTGGTCAGCTGCAGTCAGCCTTTGTCAGACCCCAGGCCCTTTAGATAAAGAAGGAAATCCAATGCTGAACAAATTGTCCTGCAGATCTGTTCATGGAGAAGGAGGTGGGACAGAAAGGTCTTCATTTGCAGACCCTGTAAGGAGAGGACCACAGTATTTGCTGGCTCCTGTTCCCTTCTGAGGAACAAACCTCTTTAAATGGGACACAGTGAAAAATGTGGACAGCTGGCCTGGGCCTCTGGAGTCTCCTCCTTCTCATACCAGGACAGACAGCAGAACTGTGGTGGGTGGAGAAGCCATTGTATCTCAGCAGATGGAGTAGAAGTCATGTTGCTTTTACTCCAGGGATGTGTGAGCCAACCCAAGGCACACTTTTGAGCATGCTGCCTGGAGCAGAGCAGAGCTGCATAGCTCTGTAAGGTGGGTACAGAGGGTGGTGAGGTGCTGAGCTCTGGGCCCAGGGTCAGTAGTGGTTTTCTTATGTCCGTGGGCAATTCCTTCCACCTTTCAGCCTTCAGCCGTGTTCCTGTCCCCAGTGGCATGAGCACCAAGTGGGCCCCAGGCTTAAAATAGCCATCTGTTCTGTGTCTCACTTTCCACATCTGCAAAATGGAAACTGTGGTTCAATTTGATATCTACTGCTGCAAATTAATTGGTACAGATGAGGTATTTATTATTACCATTACTACCATGGCAAATCCAGATGCATTTCTTCAGGATTTATAGCACTAAGGATATAGAACATTTCACAGAAATCAAGTTTGGGTGAAATAACAGATGACTTGAAGTTAGTCTTATTTAATGTATTACTGTACTTTGCCTTATAAAACAGTCCAAGAAAACCCTATTGTCTGTCAAAGCAATGCAATTAAAAATTCCAGCCTAAATATAGTTGGGGGCTGACCAGTTGAAATGCTGCTGGCTGACATTTCAAGGCCTGAACCATCAAACTCTTATGAACTGGGGCTGACTACTTACACTGGTTCTTTTTCACAGCCATTTCAGAAGTGTCACCCCCAATTTAGTAATTTTATATGTGAGTAGGAGTCAAATTTTATCTCCACCCTAGGTCTGAATTTGCTGATCAGGCATTGAACCAAGAGGCTTTATATACAGGTTGCTGAATTTGATCAACAGCTGGTCTTTAAGGGAAGAGATCAAAACATGCACAACACAGTAATTGGGTCCAGATGTTTGTCTAAAAGACAAGCCCCAACTCTAGCAGGAATTAATTAAGCAAAGTCTTACAAGCTGCGTTTTAAGGAAACCAGATGAAAAAATCACAACAGCCTACAGCCCCTCTGTTTTGTTGTTGTTGTTTTGATTTGATTTGATTTGTTTTGGGCTTTTGTCTTTTTGTTGTTGTTATTGTTTTTCGGTTTTTTGTGGTTGTGACCACATTTTGGTTACAAATAGTTCAGTGAACTAAAATTTGGTTTTGGGTGCCCCAGTTAATGATTTACTGTTGTAACCTGCCGGCAGTTAAGCTGCGTTTAGGCAGTGTTGGGAAAATGCCAAACCTCTACACATTCAGCACAGAGCAGCTCTGAAACAAATTGTCACAGTCAAAGGGAAGGGTGAGCCAGGAAATACATTGTTTTGGGATCCACAGGACCCTGGTTCTTGAAGGCATTCCCCAGAGTGGAGCCAAGATTTTTCTAGAATAGTTGTCCCCATGTTATGTTGTATCCTTAGGGTGGGTGTTCGTTCTGACACTGTGCTTCTTTCAACAAGTCAAGTACATAAATTTGATAATACATAAAAACCTAGATGGGCAAAATGTTATGCAAAAGTTCCTGCCAGGGAAAAAGAACTAGTTGGGAGCCTTATCCTGCCCTCTCAGATGTGCTTTCAGTCTGATAACCTGGAGAGTCCCACACATGGGAAATATGGTCAGTGAAGGTGGCCACAGTCATCTGATGTAAATGCATCACAGCAGGCATTGCCCATAAGTGGGACCTCATGTAGCCCAGACATGGGATATAGCTCAGATTCATGAACTGATATATTGAATACATTTGTCTTTTAATTTTGCAGTTTGGGAAGAACAAAAGAATGCTTAGAACACACACTCTGAACACAAGACTGAAGTGTCATATGATTTTTACTTTGTATACTGTGATGTTATTCCTATACATGTGAATAAACATGTATGTTGTGTTCATCTACATTTAATCTATTTACCATGTATATTTTTACCTGTATGTCTCATGCAGGCAACCTGTGCCTTTTCTTAGACAAAGACTGATAAAGTTTCTGATTTTTTGATTGCAAGTTTGATTGGACGAGGTATAAGGAAGGAAGAAACATGAAACCACAGCTAAAGAAGAGCAGAGCCTTGACTTCAGCCTAACTCTGCACTCCTTGCAGAGGCCTTAGATTGTTACATTTCTAACAGAATTAATATAACGTGAATTTGTCAGCAGATACAAGGTAACTGCAAACTGAAAAGTCAGCATGGGAGGGGTTCTTCCCTTTCACATTAAGTGAGAAAGAGTTTCAACTTAATAAATACATTTTAAGGCGTGACGGGAAAATCCGAGTGAAAAAATTTGCAGAAGTTTATCAAAATACAAACACCCCAAGTTAACTTTCGCTCTTTGTTGATAGTATACATTTCCCTTTCCCAGTATTTATATAATTATGACTCATTCAAGCCCTGATCCTACAGACCAAGATAATATCCCGAAAGATTTGTTTTTAATCCACATCAGTAATTAAATCCACATTTCTCTGTCTCATGTCGGAGCCCTGTTTGCAGGGAAGCTTCAACCCCAACACCAACCCAACAAATTCCTCTTCAGCCTGAGCCAGCTTCTGATACTGAACAAGCAAAACCATTGATGCAAACCCCGTTTTCTTTGAATGCTTTAAGGCAGAGAAAGAAAGGGAAGACTGTGGAATAAATGGATGTGATTCTTTTCAATTTCTGTTAATCTAATATTTTGGGTGTTAACTGATGCCTGGATATCCCATTTCACAAGAAGTTTGAGGCAATGAGGCTGCAAGCAGATAATTGCAGCTTGGAGCATCTTTCTGCACTCCGCACATTACTGTGAATACAGGTGTTTTCCTGAGCAGCAGTGGCAAAATGCCCATGGAATTAATCTGATTTTTCTCCTGTAAGTCTTGCTGCAGAGACCTGGGTGTTTGTCAGGTTATGGAGTGAGGGTATTGCATTTCCTAGGTGTACTTTTTTTTTTTTCCTGCCCCCCAGGAAAATGCATGTCTGGTGCAGCATCTGCTTCTTAACAAGGCAATGTCTTGTTTTCCTGCCAGTGTGTCATGAAATTTAAAGACATCCCAATCATGGGAACAGCTTTTCTGCTGCTGGTGACTCATCACTTAGTGCTCAGAACCAAGGGCCTCAATTCAACTAAATCCCAGCACCCAGTGAAAACATTCTGATAGATTAAATTGTGGACAAACTTAATTACCGGGGTACAATCAAATCATATTACATATAATTTTGACCAATGGTCAACTTTAGTACAGATCAATAGAACAAATATAAATTGAATTGTCAACACTAATTAAAAGAAGGAAGGAAAAACATCAAAATGGTCTCAGAGGCCAGCACCCTCCAATTTGTAATTGACTCCCTGGGGCAGCACATCTTGGTGCAGGGTGAGGGCCGGTGCAGGTCCCTCTTTGGCTGGCTCAGTTTGCAGTGCCTGGGTGAGAGGAGCAAACCACATTCTTTGGGATCGGCTGCCTACACCTGCGCCCAGAACTGACCAGCACATCTGCCGGGGGGACGGTGCACAGCGTGCAGGGAGCGAGTGCTGAGCTGCTTAGAGATGTGCATGGGGCAGGGGTGGTGGCTGCAGGGGGCAGAGCATCCAAGCCATGGTCTGTTTTCATGAGCCACCCAGGCGAGGGGCAAGGCTGAGACTGCATCGCCGCAAAGGCGAAGGCGAATAAACGTGTCGGGATGTGGGCTAGGTGGGATTCCACCTGCAGGCTTGGGGCAGACAGAGGTGGAAAGGGCCGAGAGAGGGTGGGGGGGACCAAGAGGGTGGGGGCAGGAGGGATGCTGCTGGCGGAGCTGGTGCTGGCGGGGGCTGGCAGCGCTGACGCTGCCGCTGTCGGGGCCGGTGGTGCCGGACTACGAGTCCCATCGTGCCCGGCAGGGCAGGCCGGCGGTGCGCAGCCGCCGCGCCGGGCACCCACCTGCCGCCGCGGGCGCTGGGCTCGGGGCGCGGAGGGGCGCGGAGGCAGCGGCGGCCGGGCCGGACACACCGCGGGGTAAGGCGGGCCGGGCGGGGCGCGGGGCATCACCCGCGGGCGGCCCCGCGGGGCTCCGCGCCGTGCGGAGCGGTGCGATGCGGAGCGGTGCGATGCGGAGCGGTGCGTGCGGAGCGGTGCGATGCGGAGCGCAGCGATGCGGAGCGCAGCGATGCGATGGGCACGGCGGGGCGGCGGCAGTGTGTGGGCACGGTGTGGCGGAGCATCCCCGGCGCGGGGCGCGGACGCGGCCGGTCCCGGTCCGACCCCACCCGCGGCCGCGGGATCGCCGCCGGGAACCGCCCTGGGAATGCGGGACACGGAGGGATCGACCGGGCGGCCCCGCCACGCCCGGGGCTCGGCGGAGACGGCTTTCCCCGAGCGCCTTCCAGGGCAGTGCGTGCGTGTTTATTGCGGAGCGCTCGCATCCTTCGCGTCAGGCGTGAAATGACAAAAAATAGATGGAGCGGTTTAATAAAATAAGAAAAGAAGGTGGGGTTTTTTTGTACGTGAAGATTCGCTGTCCCTCCTTGGAGATCTGTCTTTTGTATGTCAGAAATACGGCAGGACCGGCGGAGGGTGGTTCTGCTCAGCGGCCGGGGAGCAGGTCGGAATAAACGGGCCAATGACAGGTTCAGGAACAGGACACTGATTTAGGGAATTTAGTAGCATTTCCAAGGTCTTAAGAAGCAAAATGTGACCTAAACCCCATAATATTTACATTAGATATCACGCATGCCCTGTTTTGTCATCTTCTACTTATAAAAAATATCAGGGTGGCCTAATTCAAGGGGTTTTGCTTTGATGGAAGCTTTGGGGAAATTTCTTTTGCCAGAGAAAAAATCCACAGTTGATTGTTGAGAAACCTGTAGAGAAATCTGAGAACTATTAATACCAAAAAATAAATGATAACTGGTTAGATTCATGTGACCATCCTGAGCTTAGCAGTAACATAAACTTATGAAAAAAAACCCCAGTTTAACATCATTAATGATGAAAGAAATTCAGAAATGTAACAATATCAAATATCAGTTTAAAAATAATTGGAAGTGATTATATTTTTATACCATGAATGTCACACTGTGTTGATCTATGCTTTTGAAAGAGTTTAGTAGAGGAAATATTCAGCAAGTTACTGAGTAGCTTATTTGTAGTATATAGATGCATATATATATAGTATATAGTATTTCAGTTTCTTATCATATGAAAACTTTTCATTAACTGATTATTCTAAGAAGTTGCCCTTGAACTTCCTCTGTTCTGCCCTCCACTCTTGGAGATAGGAGCATGTAATGGGAAAGAAACACCTGGGACCAACTGGCCCAGTACTGCAGGCATCACATCCTCTAATTCTGTGCAAGGGATACAATTATTAGAAAAAACCCTCATACCCAGGGATGCATGGCAGTGTCTCACTGACTTATGCTAACAATATTAGAGTCTTTTATGCATTATTCTGCCCTCATTTGCTACCTAACAGTCTGCTTGCTTTTGCTGTGGTGCTCTTTGCTGTGCAGTTCTTAACTGGTTTCCAGTATGGATATATTTAAATTTTTATCACTCCGTAAAACAATGAAGATGGTTATATGAGTTATTTTAGTGACTTCACCAACCTTAATTCTATATGCATCTCTTTTCCCACTCATCCAGCTTGGTTGTATTTGTCTGAACTTAGGCAGTAGCCTCTCTCATCTTGATAACCTAAATAATTTTGTTCAAAATAGTGCCCTTTGCTCTTTCATTGCATAACTTCTCTTCCTTTCCAAAATTATTGTTATTTCCAGTACTTACAACTTCTGGCAGGCATTTCTGCAGTAGACAGCATTTCTGCTGTTACTAATCTGCTTTAGGGCTTGGTTTTTTTTTTTTGGTAGCATTCCTATATTATTGAACCTCATAGTTTGGTGCCTTCCTGTAGTTGAGTATCCTTTTGACTGAGGCTGAGGTGGCCGTGCAGGGTTTTGCTCTGGGAGGTTCCAGGTAGCATCCTGTAGCCACAGGTATTTGCACGTGGTGGGTTAATACTGGGGTGAATGCCTGTGTTCTGTTTGCTGACCACAGCACACAGTGTTTTTGTTTAACAGTGGAGTTTGGCCATCATTATTTGGTGCCACAAAAATCTGTAAACTTTTTTTAAACTGTTTTTAAATTGTTCTTTCAAAGAGCAGCTGGGACTGAAAGTCCAGCTGCTGTGCTAAAATAGGGAAATCTGAGAACAGCAGTGACAAAAAGGTAGCGCACCGCTTGCTATCTGTTGGCAGCACAGGTGGAACAATGCTCTCGTTAATAGCACCCAGTGTCCTTTTTTCCTATCGATGTTTCCAACATGTGGAAAACAAACACTAGTGTTGTCTTTTCCAGGGCTGGTCTGATCTATTTTGTTGTAAAAATAAAAAGTCTATTTCCAGGTACAATTCATTCTCCTGTTCGTTGCTTCACCTGTCAGGATGTGCAGATCAGGGATGGTCTCTGGCTTTGGTTCATAGCTAAAATGCAAAAAATGTAAGGTAGCTACAATGTCTCTGTACATTGTAAGAAGAAAAAACAGCTTAGGAAAGATGCAAAAAGATGTTTTTATAGAAGGTACCTACCAGTGATCATTATTAAGGATCCCAGTTCTGTAGTCAGTAGTATGAGCTCTTTACCTTTCCTTGGGGTCTCTCTCTGCTGTGTTTTCACTTGGCAAACAGTGTTCATTTAAAAGATCCACGTCAGTGAATGAGACTGTCTGTGGAAGAAGGGACCTATAACCAAACGAAAAGCTGTCCAATGCTTGACACTTGAAATTCAATTCTTTGTCTTGCCACAGACTTCCCATTTGACCTCAAACAAGGCATTTCTTTCCCCTGATAGGGCCATGGAAAGGCTCTCATGTGGCTGATGGTGTTTAAGGCACAACAACAGTTGTTTCCATGTAAATGTGGAATATCAGACCATGATATGGTTTGGCTTCCCAAGGATGCCTCTGTATAAAGCTGTAGATAACTCGTACCTCAGTGTATGCTTTGCTTTGCGTTCATGGTGGATGTGCTGATTACAAGAGCCACAGTTCTTTACACAAGACGAAATCTGGGAGACTGAACTGGATGAAAACAGCATCTTGTAAACTCACAGCTGTTCCTGTAATGGGCATGGTCTGTGTTCATCTGGGAACCACGGAGCCCTGAGCTGCTGTGTCACAGACTGGGAGCATGTCTGCTCTGCGACAGTGCTGACCAGGGCAGGTACAGCCTCTTGTTCCAAGGTAAATCAGCACCTGTCTACTGCAGAATCAAACCTGCAGAGTCTGGTGGTTATTGAGGAAGGCTGAAATCTCGTTGATGCCCCACAGAAGATAATGAGGCCCTTTTCTTCCAACTGATGTCAAATGGACACTTACACTTTCATGCAAGGGCTGTCAGTCGACCATCGCCAGTACAGCTCAGCACGAGGGTGTTCTGTTCACATCAGAGTGGAGCTTACGGATGACAAATTGTGGGTGGAGCTGCCACTTCATAGTCTATTTTGTCTGTATAAAAAGACTCCATTCTGCAGGATTTTCAGCCTTGCACTTCACACCACCCTCAATTTCAGACAGTAACTATGTTATGTTTTTATTTTAGAAAAACTAATTAACCTTGCATGGATTTTCAAATCATCACTGGAGTTCTAAAAATGGAAGAAACCTACACTCCAGTTCCACAAAGTTACTGTTGCCATGAGCAGAAAGATTGTTTCATTATTTTATAACTAAACTTTACCCCTCTAAAAGCAAAGGGAAGTCTTCATCTGCAGGAGATGCAACAGACAGACAGGTCTCTGGCCTTTTCCATTTCCTATCCTTGATACATTGCTGGAGTGTCAGAACACCATAAACAATCCCATTGATATCTGCAATGCTTACGTTCATTCTGTCATCCTCTTCCTGGTAGGAATTGAGTGATTTAAAGGTTGCTTTTGTTAAGTAAGACTGGCTTAAATCATCATATGGGCACTGTAAAATTAGTCATCATTTTTGTATGGAAACAATTCTAATGGTTATGATCTAAAAGTATGATGATACCTAGAAACAAGTTGCAAATTCATCAGGCACTGTAAAGAAATACTTCCTTCCCAGGACTCAGTTTCATGTTTTGAATGCTTGTGAGTAATACCATTAATGTTATTTTAGAAACAATCAGAAATTAGCTATTACATAACATTATTTTGCATCAGTAGGAGAAGCATTAACGTCTCATCTTTCTTTAATCACCACTGATAACTTTTCATGTTATCTGAATCAAAGGGAGTACAGCACTTTATGTCTTCTATAAATAACAGTACATTCATATGGGTAGTTTTGCAATATGCATGATAGTTATTTTCTTATAAAGGGCATGACTGAACTCCCATTAAAGTGAATTGATGTCTCACATTTTATTTGCATGGAAGTTATCAGTCCTCCAATTAGGAAGCCAACTGTAATGTAAACGACAGAGTGCCATAAGCATTACCAAGGTTCAGAAGGGCTCATCCAATTATGGACTTTCTGATCCTGTATGATTATCCTAAGAGTTCGGGCCTACTCTAGTATTAGGACAACATAATTGTTGATTATTCACTGGTCTCTATAATAGGACTAAACCAGTTGCTAGGAACAGAACATGAAATAACCCTACATTAGCCCTGGGAAAAACCAGCATTTTAAATATACAAGCATTTTTAGGGCTTTTTTTGCTACAGGATGACAAAAGATGGCAAACTGGTCTGGGAATAGAAGAGATCTGGCCATGTCATGACTCTCTCAGAGCCAACCCTGAGCTCAGTGCCAAGTGCAGCTGAGTGTGCTCCCCACCAGCCCTAGACACCCTCTTGAAGACTCCAGTTCTACAGAACCTCACACAGGTTGTTTGCTTTCATCCACCAAGTGACCATGCTGTGTCATGACCGGAAAAGAGTTGGAAAAGGTGCCTAACCTGGAGCAGTTCAGTGCTTCTTACAGTGGGAGTTCTTCAGAGATTTTTCTGGGGGGGGAAATAAACAGAAAAGTTGGGGAATTCTAG